TGGAGGGCTTTAAAAGCTGTGCAGATGTGGGGAATGTTGATGTCCAGGTCCCAAACTGGGGTTTCCCAGGAAATCACAATCTCCCCTCTTTTCTCTCCTTGCTCCAGGCTTGAACGAGGAGCTGGTGCAGCTGCTACTGATCCGGGACGAGCTGCACACGGAGCAGGATGCCATGCTGGTGGACATCGAGGATCTCACCAGGTCAGGGAGGCTCCTCGGGGTGTTTGGGGGCACTGCCTGTCCCCATCCCCATGTTTTTGGGGTCACTGCCTGTCCCATCCCCACATTGTTTGGGGTCACTGCCTGTCCCATCCCCGTGTTATTTAGGGACACTGCCTGTCCCCTTTGCCACGTTTGGGGACACAGGTGTCGGGCTTCCCTGTGAGAGAGGAGGAAAAAAATCCCAGCTGAGCCAAAACCACTGCAGGTTTTGGAGAAACCCCAAAGGGGCTTTCCTTGCCGTGTGCCCCCCTTCCAGTCCCTGGGCAGAGACTGCACATCCCTCGCTCCCAGAAAACACAGCTCTCTGTTCATCACCCGAGCCCTGTGGATTCCCCTTGGAACACAACCCTGGGTGGGTTTGGCTTTCCATCTTCCCTTGGAGCAGGGAATAACGGCCCCTTCCCTCCCCAGGCACGCTGAGAGCCAGCAGAAGCACATGGCAGAGAAGATGCCGGCCAAGTGAAGCCGGGAACGCCGGGAGCAGAGCTGGAGAGAGCCCTCATCCTGCTGCTGTCCGTGTCCCAGGAATCCAGTGTTAGTCCATGACCATGTCTGAAGCTTTATGTCGGTGATTGGCCTCTGCTTCTTAATTTATTTTAATTTTTTTACTCGTGCCACTAAATATCAGGCATTTTAATAATATTATTACAAAAAAAACCCTGTACAGTACTTATAACATTATAAAACCATGGGCGAGAAGAGAGGGTAGTTTAACTTTATTTTTGTTTGTTTAGAGATTTTTTTTTTGGTTGAATGATATTTTTTTCCCATTGACTACTTTTTTATTCTTCACTGTAGTTTTAAAATAAAGAAAACTGTACTTGACGGTGCTATACAAGTCAAAAAAAAAAAATACATGCCTGCCTCGTAGTGAAGTTGTAGCTTTCAGTAATCTGTATATTTTAATCAGTTCTCAACATTTTGTGAATGTTGACTACCTGACATTCATTTTTAGATGTGCTATTAACACTCGGTCGGGTTCAGAGAGTTGAAAGTTTTATGTATAAAGCTGTAAAATAAAAAGGAAAAAACTTGTTTCATATGACACGTCTTTTTGGTGCCGACTGGTTGATTTTGGTGGGGTGAATGTGCAATTCCTGAGCTGTCATCACCATTTTTTTTTTGCTGATCACGTGACAAGAGAGGATTTTTGTCGAGTTATTTATTTGGAGGTTCAGAATTGTGTGTGACGGGGACCTGAGAGACTCTTCTGCAGCACCACCCAGCCCTCATGTTGTGATGGTTGTTGGCATCAGCAGGAACACACCTTAGATGGCTTTTTTTTTATGTTTTATTGTCTGGGCTAAAGATTTAAATGACCTGCCAATGTCAGAAATGAACAAAATAATCTACGTGCAAAATCCAAGCAGCACATTAAATGTATTAAATATGGAATTTCCCCCTCTGCCTTTGGGCTGAGCTCCCATTCAGAGCCGAGTTGTCCAGGATGGGGGACACTGGGACACCAATAAATCTGTCTCCATCCTTCTTTTCTTTGATTTAAAGCCCAGCCACCCCCTTCCTAAGCCACAGCAGACGTGTGTGTTGCTCCCCCCAGCTTTTTACCTTTTAATTCTCATTTCCTCGGGGGCAAATCCATCTCAGCCAAGGCTCTGCCTGATGACTTATTCAGGCTGTTTTCACAAAGCCTGAGCTGCATTAAAATTTCATCCCCTGCCAAGGATGGATTTTATTAAATGACTTTTTTTCCCCCCTTTCTTTTTCTTTTTTTTTTTTTTTT